TGTGATTTATTATTATTGTGACATTAACATTAGTAAAATTTTCGAAATTTTTGTGAAGCAATAATGTTGCGGAGGAAAGTCGTGAAAAGAATTATTTTTACATCGATACTGCCTTTTGCCAATCGTTTGTTGCGCTATTGATTTCTCAGAAATTATTCGAGCGAGAAGTAGACACGCCTTTCGAGTCATCGATTCATACATTTACTTTGGGCGGCAATGCCTGTCGCGTTTTCCTTCCCTTCGACCGGAAGCGGGAAGTTCGTTTTATTCGAGGCGTAAAAATACGGGAGGTAAAGTATCGAGAGGTTTCGGTTCGAGATGAAAGGAATTTCAATTATTACCCGAGGCGCATCGAAACTCGCTTTATCTCGAAAAACGAGAAACAAACTTGCCCATTAAAAATACCACGTCGAAATTTCGCAAGTTACAGACGGATGTTAATCGAGCAAACAATGCAAAAGCCAATGAGGTGTTTTGATAACCGATAGAATTATCCGACAAAAATTATCGATAGAAATGTCGTCGATATTGGAAAAACTGTGCATATTTTATCGCGAACGATGTTCCCGTTGAAAAAATACAAAACTGATACGAGATATATCAAGATAAAAGATAATTAAATTTCGTTGATAATTTTAAATTATTTTTGTAGGTGATTTTAGACTGCATACCGACAGGAATAAAAAAAATTCAGAAATTATAAAAGTATTTATTGGTTTGTGATAATTATTTCGCTGACTATTATTGATACGCGCTAAAATCTTATGTCGGGCTATTTAAACTAACCGTCATAACTGAAATTCACCCCTCAAGGGATGCAGATCTCGTTCTCCGTTATCTACGGCATTCCCTCGTTAGATGTAACACGACTTTAGTCTGTATTATCCTTCTCGTATTCTCCTCGCGAAATGATCACTCTCGCAAGTCTCGTCGGCGGGAGGAAGTGACGTAGTTCGTTCACTGAAACATCGATCTCGCGTTCCGCCCTCGAGGGGTATGCTCGTCGCTTTACAACTCGCCGGAAATGACCGGAAGCGTTAGATTGCGCGATCCGCCCTTGGATGAGAGAAGGATAAAAAAGTGGGAAAGAGTGGATAAGGATCGAAGATAGCGAATCGTCGATGAGAAAGAATCTTCGATTAAATCTGGCGATCAGCGGCCCTTCGACTAAACCAACCGTATAAAATTTAATCTCGTTCTTTTTCATTTTTTTTCCCCCGCCTCTCCGTCCTCACCCGGTCAATTTTCAATAATTCGATTCTCACGGAATCGTCTTTAACTTTTTCGTTATTAGCCGTCGATCTTGTCTTCGATCAATTCTGCAAAGAAAGGTTGAAAAGAAAAGCATCGAGATTTGTAGGGCACGCTAATTATGATATTTTTGTATAATTAATAAAAAAAGATAAAGGAGATCATTATTTGCAACTTTATACTTAACAAAAATCTATCTTTAATGTTTAAGGGATTTATATAATATCAGCTGTATGTTTAAATTACAACCACATGCAGCCTTGGTCAAGGCAAATTGCATTTTCTTGGAAAAGGCGGTAATAAAAACCAAAGGAAAATTAAAAATTAAATATTAAAATTATTATAAAAATAAATATTATTTTTTTAATGCAGCCACTTTTAACATATAAAATGTTTACGTCAGTTTGTGGGAGTGCTCTACAGTCAAGGCTGTAATATATATTATATTCGCGTTTTTCTAGAATCATATATATAATAAAAGAATTTCAGAACATAACGAATTCTCTTCGTCGCTGCTACAACCTGCGTAGATAAACAGGGGCATGTTATTTCGTTCGTGTCGGCACCGATTTTTCACGACTTTGTTTATTCGCGCTGGACATATCCGCGGGTTTCTCGTCAACAACGTAGTCGCGTTTGCATTGGACCTCGATCGCGGCGCAGCATTTATTTTTTTTAGCAAGTGGTAATATATCGCGAAACGTTTATCTTTACGTAGCTTTATCGTTGCGACAGAATTGTAATATTGATTCGATCTATAACAAAAATACTGGAATTATGACGTTGTACGAGCCTGAGAATTACGATTGCCGACTTCTACAAATCGAAAATGCGAATGAGACGAATGAGATCTGTCTCCTGTGCTTTGGATAAAATAGCCATGTGTTTAGGCCCGCAATTTCTAAAGCAATTTTGTATTCAAAATGAGCAACTTGAATGCAAACGATATTGCAAGTATTAATATTTGTTAATTGCTTGTTCAATGTAATTCCCTTTTTATGCTTTTTTTATTGTTTTTTATTTTATAAATTGTGTAATTTGAGTTTTTGTGAATCTAACCGCGTTATTTTTCTCGCGATTCGTAGATACGCTATTTTATGTCTACACTGAAAAAAAAATTGATTGTACGAACTAAATTTACATAGTTGTTTGATCCAATAGTTAATTCAACAATTCTTTAGTTGCACAAAAAAAACGTATAGTTCATTCATGTCAACTATCAAAAATTTTTAATTAAGAATTAACTAAACCAACTCAATTAAATTATTTTGTTCGAAATACTAGTAGTATTTATTTGTGTTCGCATGCTATTTAGTTATCCAAGTAATATATATGTGTTTAAATTCCAAGTATGGAACTGACTAAACGATGCTGATGGTGATAATAAATTGTGGGTATTTTTAATAGAACGGTTGAGTACGATAAATTTTTGTTGAAACAAAACAGTTTATTTAAAAAATAGTATTTTGTCTATAATAGTAACAAATTATTTTGTGTCGTAGTAACATTTAGTCGAACGTATCGGACTAAATATTTTGGTAAAAACAAATTTTGCGTTTTTTAACAAAATTTTTTTCTCAGTGTATTCTTATTACAATCAAATGAATATGTCATAAATCTACTCTTTCTGTTCCATCACTTTATTTTACAAACTTCTACTTCGTGAAGTTAATCTTTTTTATGTCAGGAAATATTTATTACATACGGTATATACGTAAAAATATCTAATTTCTTGCTATGCATCTATTTTTGCACAATAAATACGTTGTGTATTTGTGCATCTAATCAATTGTTGTTTTATGAAATGTATCTTTTTTTGCATGCTAGGAAATGTTTACGTCCACTAAATAGAACTCACCATATTTACTTTATTTCTTCGCATTTACTTGTGTAACTCAGTTAACTGTATTAAATTTATTATCTTACGAGAATTTGCGCAGCGAGTTTTTTTTCCCCACAAAACAAAAGCTCTTCAAGCACGAAAATCACGAGGCATAGGCAGCAATCGAGGCAGTGATGGTAATGTTTGATTTATCGTGATACAGAATGATTCATAAATTGTTAATGGCAGTCGGATAACGATGTAATCGAAACGATATAAGACGTTGCCTCGATAAACTGGTCGACGACGCGGGCGTGCGAGGGTCCAGTGCGAATAAGCTGCATTGTCCCCGCACAAAGGATACCATCCACCTGCCGCGTTTCATAGATTTCCCACGAGTTTCGCGATATGTGCGCGCGCGCGGAGCTTCGGAAGACCGACCTGTGAACATTTTTCTTTCCGTGCACCGTCATTACTTTCATATTCGCCGATCCCTCTCTCTTCCGATGATGCGCGAAATCTATCGCGCGAAGAAAAATGCATCGCGGGACGCGGACAATTTTCCGTTATAATCGGTTGATATCTCACGATCGATCGCGCGCGCGCGCGCCTGTCGGTACGCTCGCGCCGCGGCTTCGCTCGTTTTCCTCGTGAATCCCGCGGAAATCCCGTCATTGTTCCGCCTTTTCGCAACGACGTATTCTTCCCGCCGGAAAGAATAACCCGCGCGAAAGAACGGAACGCGTAAAGCCTCCCGCGGTGGGTTATCTCGTCGAAATGATTTCAGAGAGACGCTCGGTAACTTCCAAAAAATACCAGAAAAGTTGGATACGTTGCGCAAATACAGAGCAGCAGAGTATGACTATTTTTTGTTACTGGTAAACAAACCTTTTCGATTTTTTGAAGTTATCGTGATATCTTCAAGCCTGTCAAAAAAAAAACGGATAACGAATAAAAAACATTAAATTTGCGAACAAATATTTTATTGACGCAAAACATCGGTACTACTCGATGGTTGTATCTACCTTAATCCCCATCCGAGGTTTTTTTAAAATTTGTTTATATTTTTTTCCAACTGTCACTATATACACACAACATCGATGTGTGACAATATACTTAATATTAATTTTTTAATTGAAGTTTTAGTTTCAAATAAAATAAAAAAAAACAGCTTATGCCAAAAATAATAAAGAATTTTTGAATCACATTCATATAGTAATTTCATAAAATTCGTCGAGAGCGAACATTTGTTGTGAAAATTTCCGGAAAGGGCAAAATACTTGACAGCATTTTTGATGCGTGCCGTTCGGAATGATCGATTGACCCTGGTTTTGTACCGGTGCCCACCCTGATAAACCGTCGATCGCTGGTTAATCCGATATTGTAGTGCGCGCGCCAAACGCAGCGGCGAAATTAACAATAAACGCGTCACGCGTTATCAAACGTGGCTGTTGCTGCTAAATGCCAGCTACACGTGTCGATGCTATCGCGGCGTGAAATTTCACTGAAAACGATTCGAATAAAACGTTACCCATCCAGAAACGCGAAACTCCATACCTGTATTTGAAGCTCTCAACGTCTCGAAATCTACTTTTCTTGAGCTGTAAAGGAGAAATAATGGTATCTTTTTGAAAAGCAAAAAAATTCTACAAAAATATGTGATGTAAAAGTTTTGTTGATTTAGTATTTTTTAATGGCTCTACGAGAGGAAAGATTTAGCACTGCGTGCACCGCTGTGATAATTACGAATGGTACATGCGATATGAAAGATATGAGAAAGAAAATTTATCTTATATTTTTATGGTAAGGTGTATTTTATTTCATTTTTTTTTACTGACAATAATTCATTACTTGTTGACAGGATATTGTCTGAGAATCGAGTGAGACGCGAACTACGTTAGGATGGTACGAGGGTGAAATCGCCAAGAGACGTTCGTCAGTATGCTGCGGATATTGATAGTGCTGACGTGCTTCGAGATATCGACGTTCGCCAGTGCACAGTCGAAAGGAACCACTACTTTCGACAGCGATGCGAACAGCGACGAACCTGAGCATCCGAGTGAGTACATAAATATTCCCCGAAATATTAAAAATTAAGGTGTTAAATATATAATAAGGTATTAAGATTAAAAATACACGGAAGAACGATTTTGCTGGAAGGTTTAAAAATTTTGCTGGATACAGATCTGAAAATATTCTAGCGATCAGTTTGACTTTCCAACAAAATTATTTTAATTGTCCAACAAAAATTATTTTTAAATCTGTATCCAGCAAAATCGTTCTTTCCGTGTAGAAATATTAAGAGAGAAATTAAGATATACGCAAGAAAAAAAGATATTTATGGCCTTTCATAACGATTGCCAGCTATAAATTATAAGCAAAAATGACTCGGAAACGTGACCGCGAAGTTACTTGCCGCTTGACTTGTCCACACGTTGGCGTTATGCAAACTAATTATTTAGGGTACGTGTACCTTAGTAGTTTGACCGAGTTTTGAGCTACCCTATCTACGTGAGTGACGGTTAACTAGATATTGACAAATATGAGTCTGACCTATAGTTACTGGACTAAAACCCCCGGTTTAGCTACACGTGTAAATAGTGTCCGTTGAAAAAACACCACCAGCTTGATTCTTCAGCGAAAACTACGGCTCTATATAGAAAAAACAAATCCATCGTCGAGAAATTCGAGAAATGTCGCGTCCGTGGGAGAACACGAGTGCGTTTTTCTTTCCGGTGCATCACTCCGAGCGTTTGCATCTTTCCGCATTTGCATTTTTCCACGCATATACATATATACATATACAACGAATCGCCGAGTACAATTCGGTAAAATGGCCGTGGGAACGCGTCTCGGCGCGCCGAGATGCGCTTCCTTTCGCCGATTTATGACGCGTGCGAGCCGGCCGCGAGGCGACGGCGAAACGTCGAGAGAGTGAACCACTCGTGGAAATTGCCGCGCGGGAGTGCGAAACTTTTTTTTGGGGGGGAATTTATTCGCGCACCGCCTGCCGGCGAAACGAGTATCAAGATTAACGTTCAGAGCCAGGTGAAAGAGGGAGCGAGGCACAGAGGAAGGGTAGGAGGGGGGAAGAGAGGGGAGCGGAAGAGCCGATTCGCGCTTTACTTCGACGATGAAGTTCTTCGAAACATATCGAGATCGCAATTACCGGTCGCCCGCCCACAACCGAGAGTCGAATCGACCGGCGAAAGTTGCGAGGATCGCACGCAGGCGAGAGCCTAGTTGCTTTAAATTTCCACGCTTCACTTTCGCGAAGTTCTCTCAAGAAGTTTGATGATCGTGCCGACAGGAGTGACACTTCTTCTATCCCCGCGAGAGTAATTTTCCGTCTCTCGTTTTATGCGCCGCGCGCGCCTCGCTTATAGGACGCAGCTATCAATTCGCTTTGAGTCGTATGAATTTTTATAGTTCTTTTTTTTTATTGTCGCTATCGGGCGATCTTTTATATCCCGCTTCGTTATCTGCTTTAGCTCGCATTTTCCGTTTCATATCTTTGAACGCACTTTGACAAAAAAAAGGACGTGAAGTATTTTTTTATTTTTCGACTGCCTACTTTCTGTTATTGCAAATATTTATTCACAGGCCTTTCGTCGTTTACACGCGCAACATGCGTTTAATCGAGAGTAAATTCTTTCAACTCGGAAGATTCGTATAGAGTCTGTCATTAAAGTTTATAAAATAATTAGCCAGGATGAAAGCAATACTAACGAATAACGAATTATACGAGGCCTCGCATGTCCACTGGCCGTTGGAAGTTTATACTGGCAAAAGCTCGGTGTACTTTATAAGTTCCTTGCACGAGGCCAAACTAATTAGATATGTATGAATAGCCCGAGCGTTGGTCGGGGACATATAATTAATGCGGCCCGCCGGCTAAGTGAGAAATTAATTATAATATGGAAATTGAAGTTGTATGTGTGTTCTCTCTTTCTCTCTCTCTCTCTCTCTCTCTCTCTCTTTATGTGGCTCTCGTACTCACCTAGTTTCTCTATTATTACATACTAAACTAACCATGCGAGCTACCATCTTTTGGTGTAGTAAAAGATTTCCCGACGCAGATGCGACCGCGCACGTGCTTCGTGCAACAACATGACACGCGTAGTGCTCTCTTTTTGAGAAGAAAATCTCCTTTATGCATGATAAAACCATCAGCTCTTGGGAACAAATTTATCGCCGCGCGTGACCGTCTACACGCGATGTCACAATGGAAAATTTCTTACAATCTGTTGATAGAACTTATTAATTCCATTGCGTGATTCCATCGTGTGTGGAATTAAAAATTGGCATACAATTGTCTTTTTATTGACACCTTTAAAAATTTTATCCTGAAGGAATTTAAAAAGTTACCCCGAGAGCTTATATTTTAAACACACGATTTATTGTGCAGGATATATTTAAGTACATAATTCAGTTGCGAATTGGAGTATTAATTCGGAAGCGGTAGTAATTATAATTTGCTTGTGAGATAAAATATCGCTAAATCTAAATTAGATCTCGTAATATGTTCTCTTATTTATTTTCATCGTTATCTGGCAGTTACAGATGCGAATGTATATGGCGAATTACGTACGTTTTTGGAAAATTGTTTGCTTTGCAATAAGCACTGTACTTTTTGCTTGCACAACGTTACGTTGTATAAATCAGTAACGGATTCCAGTTTCACATTTCCTACACGCTTTACATATGTTTTCTCTGTCGAGGATATCGCCAAACAGAACGTCAAAATTTAATATGCAACAAGGTTGATACTTGAGAGATAAACGCATTTATATATAAATATATTAAAATTTTTGGCATATCTTAAATATATAATTATAAAATCGCCGAAAAATCTGTATTTGAAAAATAGAGAAAAGATAATTAACTTTTTACAAGAAAAATCTATGAAAATTCAAAATTATAAATAAATTTTATAGATTTCGAGAAATTAAGTTATTTCTAAATAAGAAAACTAAATTAAAGCGATATATAAATTCTTTAATTTTTTTATAGAATTTATCTTTTAATTTTATTACAACTATGAAATTGTCACACAAATCAATGATTTTAAAAATTTGATCTTATTGTCGCATAAAGAAACATGCACGTTGCAAAGATACTCTTCGATCGGAAGCGTAGAATAATAATACTGAATAAATAAAACTGTCGGAACTACATAATTTAAACTTACGGTGGCTCGGCAAAAAGAGAATTTCGAGTCGGTTTATTTTAACTACAGGGTTAACGATAATCTCGTTTCGCGGCCGAGCCCACAGGAGTTATCCTCGCCAATAAGGGACAAGTTTCGAGCGAAGCAACTTCTACAGGCTATCTCAGTCGAAGTTACGGTTTAACGGTAATCTCGTTGACGAGTCTGTGACGCACACACATACTCAGAATCCGTCCGACGAGTTCTGAAATTTTTGAGGTCGAAACCGCAACGTGCAAGAGCGTCAGGGCCTCAGCTCGTTAAGAAGTTCGCGAATGGCAGCTCATCGTGAACGGAAGTACGTTGCTCTCTTCAGGATTCGCTGTGAACCCCGTCGATCCTTTCAGGAAACATTTATAGGATTTCTAATCATGTGTATGTTCGCTTTCAGGTCTTTGCATAATTAAAGAGTATAGAATCAGAACAGTGGAAAGTTTAGAATTTGAAAATAGTACGAATATATATAGATCAACACAATACGTGATTTTTTTTAAGTTAAAATTTTTGTTTGAATAAAGTTTATTCAGAACAAACTAATAAATTCATTTTACTTTTGAGTTGAACTTTTTGTTGCAACTTTAACTTTTCTTTTGTTTCTTTTTCAAAATATGAAGCTATAGAGAAGATAGTTTGGCTCGCCCGCGCGCGGAGAAGCTATAGTGAATTTTATAATGAAACAACGAAATCTCATTTTCATACTTTGACTCTCAGGTGCGAAACTTATTCGATTAAAAGCTCGAGGGCTCGAAGTAAAAATGCGTTGCGTTGTTCAGTTCGCAAATCGAGGTCGCCGCGGTCAACAGGCCCCTCTTGCTCGTTAACGAGTTCGCGAGTTTGCCAAAGTCCCGTCTTGGGTAGCCTCGACAACGAGTTGGGGATTCCGCTTAACTCGTTGCTTTGGTAAACTCGAGGACACTTTGTTAAGCTTAATCTCCTTTCACGGTTATTGGGTTCCGCTCTTTACGAACAAAAGGACGCGAGGACTGTCAGAGGAGGACTTAAGTCCTCCGGGATATACTGGATATGCTGACAGCCATATTGCGCAGAGCCACGCGGAAAATCGTTGCGGATTTTATTAACTTCGCATACTTTCGCGGAAAGTTGAAATAATCTTCACTGCAATATTTTCTTTATGCTATTGTGGTAATTGAGAGATTCTTAGGAGAGAGAAGATGACATTTTTCTTTCTAGGAAATATAAAGCGCATTCGCGCTTGTTACTGGACGAGTGAGTTTTTATGCAGATTCATTTAAATTAATGTTTCAGAGATGTAAATGCCCGTAAACGATGCCCCGTTTTCCTATACAATTAACCGTTAATATCCCATTTTCGAGACAAAATTGAATATGTCGAATGACTGACTGAATCTTGAGAGAATATGCGATTAGTCATTAGAAGAATGGATATTTAATTAACTCTTTTAACGATAAGCATCCCTCCGAGGGAAGAGATTTTAAATACTTTTTACGTCGTACTTAAAGCGCATCCTGGGAACGTGGCATGCATAGCCATTATATTACCACGGTCTGACAGCCGGTAGCACGGTCTTAACGATTATCATCGTTTTAATAAAATTTTACTTCATCAGCATCTCATAAAAAGCGGTTAAGAAAGAAGTTTCTGCCATGAAGCGGTGACACAAAAGAGCTAACTTGATAAAGGACACCTTTGTGAGGCCAAACAGATGACGCTGGTGGTTAACATTGTGCTTTATCTAGAATTTAAAATTTACGTTTTTCTGCGTAAATAATACGTTGGTAAATAAGCATTTTGAAAATCGTGTTAATAAGAATATAAATATGAATATAAATAGTATGAAAATTATAGATTATGTATAATTTAAAAGTTAA